TTAATTTAATTTTTTATTAGATAAAATATATATATTGAAATCTGCTAAAGAAAAATATATAAATTTGAAAAATCTATATAATAAAAATTTAATTATATTACAAATAATAAAAATTTAAATATTAAAAATTACTTTAGTCTTTTATAGTATATATTGACTGTATTTTATATATCAAATATATTACATAATATTTAATATCTTTTAAATCCAAATTTTTATTTGATTTTTAAACATTAGTTTAATTGCTTATAATTTTAATTTTTTTTAAAAAAAATGTATAATTTATTTAAAAAAGATGTGTTAATATTATTTAAAATTATAAACTAAAAATTAGTATTAAAAATTATTGAAAATAATAATTTTTATATTTAAATTTTCTTTTTAAAATAATTTTTTGTCATTTTATTTAGTTTATATGTTTTTCTATTAATCATTTTATACTTTTTTTTTTTTTTAATAAAATGCTTTTTTCTTAAAATTTAGTTTAAATATATTATATTATTATAAACTAAAATTAATTTTCTTAAAAATAAACTCATAAACAATAAAATATTTTAGAAAATTTATAAAATTATAAAGTTAATAATTAACCAAAATATTTAAAAAATAATTTAAAATAAAACTTATAATTTAATAAAAAAGTAAGTTTAAATAAAATTTAGTTTTAAAACGTTTTAAAACAAAATAAAGTAATAATTTTTAGTTTATAAAAATAAAATAATAAATATAATTTATATTTTAATAATCTTTATTTTATAATATTTAAATTATCAATATAATTTAATTTTTTTAAAAATTAATATTGTTAACAAATAAAATATATGTTTTTATCAATAACATCTATTTTATTAATAATATATAATTTTTTTTTTTTTAATACTTATTATTTAAAATAATATAATTTATTTTATTTTTTAAAACTGATTTCATTAATAATTTAATACTAGAGAAAAAACATAAAAATAGTAAGCTTTTCAATTATGTAATGTTATAATTAGAATATAATTATTAACAAATAAATTGCTTAATAAGATATATATAACAACTAATTTTAATATTTTTCTCATTTGATAATTATTATAATTAAAAAAAAAATTTACAAGTTCATGATTTTAAAGAAAAATCATATAATCATTTGTAATTTAATAAACTTTAAAATTAAATTTTCAATGAAAATTCACATTATAATAGTCCAAAAGATATTTGTTTGTCGTGTTAAATTTTAAATGACAATATGAAATCTTCTAAATATTTTTAACAATGAAAAGAAAATATCTTTTTAAAAAACAGAAAATTTCTTAATAATAAATTTTATAAATATAGCAAATTAATAATAAAAAAATAAATAAAAAAAATTGCATTAAACTAATAAAATTTAATAAAAATAAATAAAAAAAGTTTCAACGTTGGAATGACCACGAAAAAAAATTATATTTTGAATTCATAAAAAAATATAAGGATATTTTATTAAATACTAAATTAAGAAGAATAGAAAAAAAAATTTTAAAAAATGAGTGAATTTATAAAACAAAAACAAATATTTAATGTAAATCATATAACTAAAATAACTAAAAAATGCTTATGAAAACATGAAAACAAAAAAAAATTATGATTTTATTAATATATTTGTTAATAAATGAAAATATATAAATTATTTTAAAAAAATGATATATTTATATTAAATATAATTTAAATTAATTTTTTTCTATAAATGTAAAATATAATTTTTATTAATTATATTTCTGATATTTAAAACTTTTATTTAAAATTATATTTTTTTTAATATTTATATCTTTATATAAATATATAAATAATGTTTTTATCAAATTTTTCATTAGCTTACAAAATTTTTTGATTTTTGTATTAAAAATTATTATTTTTAAACATAAATTTAATTTAGTAATTTTTTTTACAATAATACCTTTTTAATAGTTACACCTGTACTTATATTACTTTTCATAGCTTTCATATTCATAAATTCTAAAAAATAATAAAATAAGAGCTCTATAGAACTTCCTTCAATCTTTTTAACACATACTAAATTAAAATATTAAATATATATTTGAACTATTGTTATTTTTTACTATCTTTTTTTAAAAAATAAGATTCTTGCATAATATTAATATAAGTATTTCGTTTAAAGAACATCAAAATTAAATTTTATTCTTCAAAGTATTTTTTCTTTTAAATAAAATAAAAAAATAATAAGATTTCTCATAAATTCTTTAGTTTATATTAGCCCGCCCAAATATTTAACAAAATAAATGCATGTATTAATTAAATTAAAATATAAAAGCCGATAATTACCCAAAATTTTATTTAAAATAAAAGAAAAAAAGCAAAATAAAAAACAATAAAAATATATATAGAGAATAAATACTATTATAAAATTGATAATATATATTTTAAAATTCTTATAATGGAACAGTAAATAAATGCGATTATTAAGACTAAGAACATAAATACGAAAATATATAGATTAGTATTTAATAAGAGCGAAATTCGATAATACCAAAAATTTAAACTTTAAACTTTATACAATAACAGGTAATATAGCTAAAGTATTTTTTATAGCTAGATAAAAAATCAGTTTAAATGTTTATATAATAAAATTTAATATTTATTTGTAAACTATTAAATTTTATAAATATATAAATATAAATAATTATAATATTTTGTTTTAATAATCAAAATACTATTTTCTATTTCTAATTTAAATATATTTTAAAGTGGGTTTAATACATAATTATTACTGTTGTCTTCAGAAATAAGTCTTTCTCCTTGGTATATTGCATTTATAATATCTTTTTAGTTTTTTAATTTTTAAGGTTTTGCATATTATTTCCATTACTTAAATGCACATTTAATTGCATTTAGCTGTAGAGAGTATTTTCTATTATACAAAAATGTAAATTTACTTCAAATTAAAAAGAAATACTTAAATATATTTTTGAATTATCGTTAAAGAAACTATTTTTTTATAAGATATATTTATTATTTTTATAACAAATAGTTTTATATAGCTCTAACTTTAATATTAATTTTTATCAAAGTTAAAGTTAGAAATTATATCTTGGATAAAGTTATTAAATGTTTTTGTTATTAATTTTCTTACTTTTAAAAATAATTATTTTTAATAAAATCGATATATATGCTTTTATTTTAATTTTCTTTGTTTCTTTTATTTTTGAGGAATTAATTAATCATTTATTAAAAAGACATAATATGCGATTTTTTACTTCAGAAGGTTTTATACCAAAAGTTTTAGAAATTTAAGAGTATTTCTTCATCCTATTTTCCCATAAATATATTATTTTATAATATTTTAGATTTCAAAAGATGTTTTTTCCATAATTACTTTTTTTTTATTTTATTTTTTATTTTTATTTTTATTTTTATTTTTATTTTCCTTTTTTTTATTTTTTTTCCTTTTTTTGTTTTTTAAGACTTCTAAGAAATTATGTTTTGTATCTATTAAATATAATCATCTTTTTTATATTCTTAAATATTGATTTTTATATTATTTAAAGGAATAGTATACTCGTTATATATATATATATATTTTTTTTATATGAAATCATATTTTTTAAATTAATAACATAGAAATATATATATATTTTTTATAGATAGAAAATATATATATAAACAAAAAAAATAGTATAATAAAATTAACAATTTTTACTTAAACTCAAAAAATTAATATGATATAATAAGTAAAAATATTCAGATTTAAATAAAATTTACTTTATACACAAATTTACATCTAATTACATGATAATATTTAAAAGAATTATTAATTAATTCTGATTGCTAATATTTTTAAAATTACTAAAGAAAAAATAACATAAGTTTATATCGAGCATTCTTTTCATAAAACGGGAAAAAACTTCTTTAAATATTGGAAATTTTAGTCTAAAAAAATATCAAAAAACATATCGGGTTGAATGGTGATTCTTTTCCTAATAAAAAATGAATTTATTATCTTATAAAATTCTTAGAACTAAATGATGACTTAATAATTTATAAAAATAATTAACTTATAAAGAAAGTCTAACAAGAAAAATAAAATAAAAAAAAAACTGAAATAATAAAAAAAATTTAAAAAAAATAATAAAAAAAAAGAAAAAAACAAAATAATAATAGAAGAAGAAAAATGATATCAAAATAACAAAATAAAAATAAATAAAATATATAATATATTAAATACAAGAGAGAAAAGTTATAAGAGAATTTATAATAAATAATTAATAATTGTATTATAAATAAAATATAAAATATTATAATGATTGATAAAATTAATTAATTATATATTATATATAAGTTTTTCTATAAGATAAATTTTAATATTATTATTATATTTTTAATTTTATATTTTAAAATATTAGTTTCTATTAGAAATTAATTTAATAAAATATATATATATAATATATATAAATATATATATTAATACATTATTTAAAAATAAAATTTAAAATATTAAAATAAAAATATAATTATTAATTGTACATTTTCATATAATAAATCAATTTATTTTATTAATAATTACAATATAAAAAAAGAAATATTTGTAAAATAATTAAATATTAAATTATTCGATTTATTTATAATTTTTTATTTTAATAAATTAAGTATATTATTGATTATATATATCTATTATTTTATATTATAAATATATATTTTTACATAATTTTATTATTCAATTAAATTTTCTTAATTATTTTTACTTTTTTCTGGAGATATCTATAAAAATTATATTTATAAACACTTTAAAATATATTAAATTGGCGATAGTAAATTTAAATTTTTATATATAAAAAAATTATTGTATTTATATTTTAAAAAAATTATATAAAACTGATTTTTAATCTATATTTAAATTATGCTTTAGCATAATTAATAAATTAATAAAAGTTTTTTTTTTTCATAAAAATTTTGGATATAGATTAAAATTATTAAAAAATAAATTATTTAATTTTTCTTTATATTTATATATAATCAAAAATTATTTTTTTACATAATTAGTAATTGTTTATTATATTTTTTTTATTATATATCCAATAAAACTTACCTTATTTTCTTGAAATTTTTTCTTTTTTTTCCGTATAAACATTTTTCCCATTAAAACACCATATATCTAACTTTTTTTATAAAAAAGAGTATAAAATACACAATACCATATACACAATAAATCCTAATGATAAACAATTCTGCAAATAAAGTATAAATCTGACAAAAAACAATTAATTTTTAGTCATATTATGATTTTCTTAAGCCTAAAAGAACAAAATAATTGAAATCATAACAAAAATAGCTAATGTAATCGATAATTTTTCCAATTAATTTAATCTTTTATTAACAAAAGGCTACTTAGTAACCACTAAAATATTATAAACAATTAAAATAAGGATATTAATATATCCTAAAAGCCAAATTTCAGACATGAAAATGTTTAAATTTAAAACAAGCAATATTTTTACACACAACCTTAT